GACTTTTTAGACCTATGAAAACAGCAACTTCGTATGATTCAGCCTAATATATAAAGCCTGTTGGGAGACAGTCCTTTGTGGTTCTCTCACGCTCCTATTACGTCTTGATACTGTGCCAAGAATGCAAAGCTGTGACCCCTCTTCACCTGGGCCATTTCTCAGGGTTGTGTTTACAGTTTGGCAACCTTAAGGGATGAGGTAATGTCTCCTTCTGGAACAAAGAGCAGACTTGCTTACTGCTTGCCATAAAAGCAGTGGATTCCTCAAGCTCACCGTTCCTTTCCTGTACCACAACCCACTGCACATGCAGGTGTCACCTGGGCTCTTGCACCATCTCTTTGGGAACTGAAGCAAGGGGAACCAATGTAAATATGCTGATGCTCATGTTGCTTAATGGGCTGAGTAACAATGTCCTTTATCTCTGATTCAGGATTCGCGTATCTTCTGCTCGCATCCATGAAACGGTAACAGACTAACTTTTTAGCTTTTGATTAGGGTAAAATAAAATCCCAAACCCAACAAAAAGCCACAACACAGGACACTTTCAAGATTGCGTGAGTTCTATCAGTTGTGAAGCTTTCCCAAACTGTTACCATTTAAGACCAAAAGTTGAATGCTTCCTTAGGAAAGATCAGTGTGGTCATTCACCTTTCTATCTTGCTCTTAGGATTCTTTCATAGGAAGTAAAAGTCTTTCAGAAGTAAAAAATATGTCATGATCCTCAGTCCCCTATACAGTCAGAGATGTATGAAGCCCCCCAAGGAAGCTGTGATTCTGTCCTAGAGTCTTGGAAGAATCCATGTGGGGGGTTTCAGGCAAGCTGATAGCTTGAGTTTCCATCTGTACCCTTCCAACTTTATTTGGCCACGGGCTCAATCTTTAGACGTGAACTGAACTTTGTAGATGACAGCTCCTGTAGTAGTCAGATGTCCACAAGTGTGAAAAGGCTTAGAAACTAGACCACAGGCCAGATTAAAGCTGATAATCTGCATCTCCAGGCTTAGCTCCCCTGCCTCCTTCTTAAATATGCCACTGAGTGAGCAACTGGTTTTCTTCCTTCCTAGGCTGACCATTGATGAAACCCAACCATTTTCTCCTGACAATGCCACAACTGTGGAGCTGGCATTTTAATGTAAATAGCTATTCTCCGATTTGTTAAGCCCTATTGCTCCTGACATTTCCCTTTCTGACCCTTATCAGCCACACACTAGCAAAACATGAAAAAATAAAGAGGATGCAGAAAAGGTTACAACCAAGAAGTGCATTGTGACTGTGACCAACAAGGAAATTTGGAAATGGGTGACTGAACACCCAAGGATGGCCTGTCAGCTGATCACAGTTACAACATTTATTCAATGCCTGACAAGTGCTTAGCACCGTTTCAAGGTGTCACATGGAGATACATAGGACATGACAGTCACAGACACTGCTTTAGGAGCACTTACAATTTAATAGACAAGATAGCACAATTAAATGCCTGTATACCCATAAACACTCAATCTGGTCCTGGTTTACCTCTCCACTTACTCTTTATTTCTTTCACAGTATGTGTCACTAGATGTAATTATTTAGCTTATTTATCTGTGTTCTTGATTATTATGATTCTCCAAGAGCTGAGATTCACCTGGCATGCAGCAGTTTGGCCATCCCAATTATTAATGACTGCCACCCCTCATCTTATCCACTGGAATATCAATTCCAAGAGGACAGGGACTATGTCTATCATATTCACCACTGTAACCTCAGGGCCTACCAAAGTGTACCTAGTAGATTCTCAATAAATATTTTTGAATAAATTAATTAATTAATTCAGCATCAGCTATGTTGTTAGGTGCCATGGAGTCAGTTATGACTGATAGCTACCCTCTGTGCAACAGAACGAAACACTGCCTGGTCCTGCCAGCCTCACAATTGTTGCTATGCTTGGGCGCACTGCTGCAGCCACTGTGTCAGTCCATCTTGTTGACGGTCTTCCTCTCTTTTGCTGACCCTCAACTTTACCAAGCATGATGGCCTTCTCCAGGGACTGGGCCCTCCTGATAGTATGTCCAAATTATGTGAGACGAAGTCTCGCCATCCTTGCTTCTAAGGAGCATTCTGGCTGTGCTTCTTCAAGATAGATTTGTTTGTTCTTCCGGCAGTCCATGGTATGTTAAATATTCTTCAACAACACATAAATCAAAGGCATCAATTCTTCTTTGGCCTTCGTTATTCACTGTCCAGCTTTCATTTGCATATGAGGAGACTGAAAATACCATGGCTTGCATCGAGTGTACCTTAGTCCTGAAAGTGACATCTTTGCTTTTTGACACGTGAAAGAGTTTTTTTGCAGCCGATTTGCCCAATGCAGTACATCATTTCATTTCTTGACTGCTGCTTCTACAGGCGTTGATTGTGGATCCAAGTAAAATGAAATCCTTGACAACTGCAATATTTTCTTTGTTTATCAGGATGTTGCTTATTGGTCCAGTTGTGAGGATTTTTGTATGTTGAGGTGTAATCCATACTGAAGGCTGTAGTCTTTGATTATCGTTAAATGCGTCAAGTGCTCTTCACTTTCAGCAAGGAACGTTCTGTCATCTGCATATCACAGGTTGTTAATGAGTTTTCCTCCAATCCTGATGCCCTATTTTTCTTCATGTAGTCCAGCTTCTTGGATTACTTGCTCAGCATAGAGATTGAACAAGTGGTGAAAGGACACAAACTGACACACACCTTTCCTGACTTTAAACCATACAGTATCCATCTGTTCTGTTCAAACAACTGCCTCTTGTTCTATGCACAGGTTCTGCAGGAGTACAATTAAGTATTCTGGAATTCCCATTATTTGCAATGTTATCCATAGTTTGTTATGATCCACACAGTTGAATGCGTGTGTATAGTCATAAAACACAGGTAAACATCTTTCTGATATTCTCTGCTTTCAGCCAAGATCCATCTGACATCAGCAGTGATATCCCTTATTCCACATCCTCTTCTGAAGCTGGCTTGAAATTCTAACAGTTCCCTGTTGATGTACTACTGCAACCACTTTTGAATGATCTTCAGCAAAATTTTAGTTGTGTATGATGTTAATGATATTGTTCAGTAATTTCCACATTCTGTAGGATCACCTTTCTTTGGAATGGGTACAAATATGGATCTCTTCAAGTCAGTTGGCCAGGTAGCTGCTTTCCAAATTTCTTGGCATAGATGAGTGGACACTTCCAGCATTGCATCTGTTTGTTGAAACTTCTCAGTTGGCATTCCATCAATTCCTGGAGTCTTGTTTTTCACCGGTGCCTTCAGTGCAGCTTGGACTTCTTCCTTTAGTGCCCTTGGTTCTTGATCATATGCTACCTCCTGAAATGGTTGAAGGTCAATTCTTTTTGGTACAGTGACTCTGTGTATTCCTTTATCTTCTTTTGATGCTTCCTGCATCATTCAATATTTTGCCCATCAAAAACAAAACCAAATCCATTATCGTCGAGCCAATTCCAACCCATAGTGGCCCTATAGGGCAGAGTAGAACTGCCCCACAGGGTTTCCAAGAATGGCTGATGAATTCAAACTGCCGACCTTTTGTTAGCAGCTGAGCTCTTAACCACTGTTCCACAAGGGCTCCATAGAATCCTTCAATATGGCAAATTGAGGCTTGAAATTTTTCTTTAGTTCTTTCAGCTTCAGAAATGCCAAGCATGTTCTTCTCTTTTGGTTTTCTAATTCCAGGTCTTTGCACATTTCATTCTTGAGCTTCCCGTTGACGTCTTCCGTTCCACTGTTTTACGTCATCATTTCTTCCATTCACTTTAGCAAGTTTCAGAGTCTCTTCTGACATCCATTTTGGTCTTTTCTTTGTTTCCTTTCGATGACTTTTTGCTTTCTTTATGTATGATGTCCTTGATGTCACCCCACAACTCATCTGGTCTTTGGTCATTAGTGTTTAATGCATCAAATCTATTCTTGAGATGGTCTCTAAATTCAGGTGTGGTATACTCAAGGTTGTATTTTATAAGTAACAGCTATAGAGAAAGAGTATGTAACTTACCTTCTGAATGCTGCAACTAACTCAGTAATACAAAATTAAGTGAGAACCTCATTTGAAGGCACAAGCAAAATTTTCAGGGAATTTAGGTGAGAAATAATTCAGGGCAGGAAAACTATTCCTACCTCATTTTTCCTTAGTGAATATTGAGATCATCAATCACAAAGAATTGGTAGAACACAAAAGGCCCAATCATAATCTTATGATGTGACTTTAATTAGGAGATTGTAAGAGCAGTGGGGTTCAGCTAGTACCCACAGACTTATCAAGGTTTAAAGCTGGATAGAACAAATAGCAACGTAGTTGAATCCCCTCATTTTGTAGCTAAGCTATCCTTAATATAATACTAAGCCAGTGACGTTTCAGAGCTTTACAACAAATACTAGGTAAAGTAATTGTATTGATGACTCCAGTTTTTTATTTCTCACATTGGGTTCTGCTTCACCCCTTGACTCTGAGCTCAGCCATGTGACTTCATTTGGCTAATGAGATATTAGCAAATATGATGTAAGCAAAGGTATGAAAAACACTACACATTGAGACTTGCTCTCCTGTTGCTCTTTCTCCTCCACCACAGCCATAAGTACATGCCTAGCCTAGCCTGCTAGAGGGTAAGACACATGGAGTACAACCATGGTTCCTTATCCCAGCTGAGGCCATCATAGACTAGTTAACAGCTAGTCAACCTCCCAGAGTGAGCCCAGCCAAGATCAACCAGCTGATCTGAAACTGACCACAGATATATAAGTAAGCACAGCCAAGATAAGCAGAACCTCCTAGCTAACCTATAGATTCATACACCACTGAGTTTTTAGGGTAGTCTAGCTCGTAGCATTTTTGTAGTATTAGATAACTAATATAATACTCTTTTAAAGTAATACAAATTAATTACCAGCAAAACAAATTAAATAAAAACATGATTATTCTTTATTGAAATAGAAACTATCTTTGGTTAAATTATTTGATTCCTGTATAACCACAGGCAAATACTTTCCTTACAACCACACCCATGTCACTGGGGTTCAGCATGCCTGGGAAGGATGCACTTAGAGAAGAGAAATGAAGAGCATTAGCAGGCTCAGCACCACAGTGGTAGACATGACCTTCCCGGCACAGTTAGAGGACCAATATTTATTATACACATCATCCAGCATAGAGAGCACAGCCTCCATGGTCTCCTCACACGTGGGCTGGATCTGATCTTCTGGCAGAATAAATCCATGTGTACCAGTGTCTCTCAGCTCAAACGTGTATGAGAAGGGGATCCCAATGTCCCGAGCCCAGTCTCTTGAAGACCCTGATGTAGCATCTACAAAGAAAACAGGAAGGCAGAGTTAGAAATCGTACACTGAACGGACAGAGTTCTGAGGCCACTTCAGGGAATGAAGGCTCATCTATTAAAATAAATAAACTATTTCAGATTAGGGCCTCATGGATATTAAGCTGAGGCTTAACATCAAGATTACTACCCCCATCTTATTTATTTATTTATTGTGCTTTAGGTGAAGGTTTACAGAGCAAATTAGTTTCTCATTAAACAATTAATACACATATTGTTTTGTGACATTGGTTGCCAACCCCGCGACGTGTCAACACTCTCCCCTTCTCGGCCTTGGGTTCCCCATTTCCATTCGCCCAGCTTTCCTGTCCCCTCCTGCCTTCTCGACCTTGTTCTTGGGCTGGTGTGCCCATTTAGTCTTATATACATGCTTGCGCTAACATGTATTATTGTTTGTTTCATGGGCCTGTCTAATCTTTGGCTGAAGGGTGAAACTTTGGAGTGACTTCAGTACTGAGTTAAAAGGGGGTCTGGGAGCCATACTCTTGGGATTTCTCTAGTGTCCAACAGACCAGTAAATCTGGTCTTAATATGCCCATCTTGATATTAAGCCTCAACAGGGCAGCGACTGTATCTTACTCATCCTCTCTGCCCCCATAGTACCTAGCACTCTGCCTATCATCTAACAGGTTCAGTTAAAGTTTATCAGCTGAATCAAAGACAAGGCAATCTAATAATTTAAGGCAAGAGTTAATTGGCTCATACAAAGGAACAAATCAGAATGACCAACAAGAAAATATACAAATATTATCTAGGTGGGCTTCAGGAAGTTGGAGGAGGTGGTGGTTGGAAATGGTGGAAAACAGTACACTTTTCCTCCTTCTAAATTCCTTTCTTTTAGATTCTTTCTCTAGGCCCTACCCTGTTCTGCTTTCTTAGCTCATTGGGTCCTCTGAGAACTGAATCAACTGACCAAGGGTCACTGGACAATGTCCTGTCTGTTAATTCCTGTGCCTTCTAACTTGCCAGCTCTTTTTAACTAAGTCAGGGGAAGTTCTGGGCCAAGCTAATGTATTAATATCTTCTTATTGCTCACACCTTATCCCTAGAGAGTATAATTCTGGATTTGTACAGACTCCCTTTTATCCTTGGTTATTTTGATTTATATAGCTCCCTGTTGATTTCAGGAACACTTCTATCCCTCTGCTGCCCACCACACCCTGCAAAGTTCACTGACTTCTTTTGTGCCTTAGATACTATTGACAAGGCAAAAAAAAAAAAAGAAAAAAAAAAACCTTACATAAAATATCTGCACTTGAGCCAACTCTGTAAGTCATCGCATGCTTTGCTTTCAATGCATTTGCCGCCTTCTCTGCAACTTGAATCTGTAGGTAAGAAATGCAGAAGCAGATACTGATGTTAGAAATAAATCCAACAATACAGAGGGTTTGGTATTTTGTTCAGATCCATCTCCACAGTGCCAGACCAACTTTTCAACTTCCCTTTGGACACTTAATGCTCAGGTTGACTGCTGATACTTCAGACTCAACATACTCACATCCAATTTCATCTTCTCCCCCACTAGTAAGGCTGTTCTGATTTTCATATTTCTGATCTAGTATAGTCCCTCAAACAAAAATGTAAAATTCTGGCGTCATCTTTTACTCTTTTTCTCTCACACTTTCCATTCTCAAACAGTTACCAAGTTCCATTTGCAGTGCCGTCACACTAGTTCATTCATTACCTCTGAACAGGAGTGTTGTCATCTTCTAATAAATTTCCCTTCCTCTCATCAATACTTATTCCAATTGATCCTACCTGGCTTCCAGATGAACTTTTGTAGAGTAGAGCTATGATCATGATCTTGCTAAAAAACCTTCAATAACTCTTAGTGGCCCATAGGATTAGAAACCAACTTCTCAGCCTAGTTTTTAAGAGCCTCCAAAGTATGACCCTAACCTACCTGTGGTAGGCTGAAAAAAAAAATGGTACCCAAAGATATATCCATTTCCAAGTCCCCTGAACCTGTGAATTTTACCTTATGTGGCAAAAGAGTGACTATTACCTTACATGGAAACAGATGTCATTAAATTAAGCATCTTGAGAGGAGGAATTTATTCTCGATTATCTGAGTGGTCCCTAAACTCAATCACATGTATCCACATAAGAGAAACACAGAGGGAGATTAGACACACACAGACGAGAAGGCAATGTGATCACAGAGGCAGAGATGGAATGATGTGACCACAAACCAAGAGATGCCTAAACCTACCAGAAGCTGCAAAAGGCAAGAAACAGATTCCTCCCTAGAGCCTTCAGAGGGAGTGCTGCCATGCTGAAAACTTGATTTCATACTTCTGGCTTCCAGAATGGTGAGAGAACACATTTGTGTTGTTTTAAGCCACCCAATTTGTGGTAATTTGTTACAGCAGCCACAAAAAATGAATATACTACCTTTCCAACCTTATATTCTCTACATTCACCCTAGACTATAGTCACACTCGAGTTCACCCTCTGTTTCCCAGGCATGTCACATGTTCCTCAGCCTCTCTACCTTTGCTTAGGACATTCCCTCTATCTGGAGGCCTTACCTCTTATCTCTGCCTGTTTGAATTCTACCCAACCTCAAAGGACTTTCTTGAATGTCAACTTCTCCATGATGCCTTTCCTGACCACTCCAACTGGATTCTAATCTCTCCCCCTTTTGAATCTCCCTTATCACTTTGCTCATACCTCTCATACTGCACCCCTCTTATTTTACCTAGTTTTATAGGTATTTGATACTTATCTCTCATAGGCACCTAGAATTTTAGAGCTTTCAGTAACACTCTCCCCCACACCCACCACAATATGGCCTTACAATATTGGAAGCTCCTCAGAACTAGATGATTTCTAAGTTCTTGGCCTTGCTCTTCCCAAACCGTTTCCTGAGATCAGAGTCACTAACTGAAGTCCAAGTCTACTGATTTTATTTAGTGGCCTTCTGATAAATCTCTTTGTATACCCTTCTGACAGGCCCTCTAAGCATTCCCTACCCTAGATTTCCCAATGCTATATTCTATCCACCTGATGATATATCCCACCATTTCGCCTTAGATTCTACACAGACACTACCAAAATCCCCTTGCCTACTCCCTGCCTGGACTGTGATCCACTGTTGCTCAGTCCCTTAGGGAAACCTGAGGTGGTAAACCTCCCCTGACTGCCCTTGCACATAGGTCAGCTCCCCTGACTAGTAGATTAGTCTTGTTTTAGATCCTGATTCTCCCCCTCTGGCTCTGTTCTGAATCTTAAGATGTGACAGGGTTGTGCTTGGGTAGAGTGGGGACAAGTAGATTGAAATTCAAAAGGAAAAATATAAAGGTGGTATGTTTTTCTTTCTTTTTTTTGGAGGTGGGAGGTCATATAAACAGGTGTGGGTAACATCCTTAGGACACTTTGGACTTCCTGTGTGTGTGAATAAGACAGGAAAAACATTAAATTTAACGTATTTGCAAGGTTTTTACTTCTTTTCCACTCACTAAGAATTCTATCTTTGGCCATTCAGCTTCTCTCTCTATTCCAGAAAGGAGATTCTGTGTCTGCTCTTGGGTTTGTGTTGTCCACATTTGAGATAATGGGTAGAAAGAGCTAGAGAATTACAAGGAATAAAACTGGTTTGATCATTTACAATGGAAAAAAGTACAAGAGATGTTTATAGAAAGAATAAGAAATTATAAGGGGAAGAGGAAAATCAGAAAGGGGATTTCTGAGATAAATTTTGGTAAGGAATTGAAAGTAAGAGAAAGGATTCAGGGTAGATGCTGTGTGTGTGAGAGTGAAATTAAACGTAAGAGGCCTGGGGAAATGTTGCTGTGACTTTCCAGCTACATTCCCATTTGAAAGTTCTTTGAGAGTCTGTAGTAGAGGTCAGAACTGATTTTAATCATTTTAAATTTCCATGTGTTTCTGTGTTTCTCTGAATGAAACCTAATGCTAACTGGGCAACGTGGGGCCTTGACTTTTATTTTGGGTTACATGGATCAGCCCCAGGCTACATTTTCCATCTAAATGGTTCCTTGCATTTTTTTTTTCTTTCCTGCAGCTCACCCCAGCCTACTCATCCTTTTTTTCTCATTACCAACCTCTACTTATTCTGTTCTTATATACGTCCCTTCACTCAAATCCTGGGTGTGGGATGAGGAACAGCCTCCTCAGTTTTCCCCTTCTTTGACAAAAGAGTTTTTGAATTTTTTCTTTATGTATTTTTTAAGGATTCCACCAGCAATTACTATGGGGAAGTAGATAAAAATGAGAAACATGACATATGTGAGAAGTGTACAGTTGTGATCCTTAGCCTGCAGAACTGGTCCTTTCTGAGAAGATGAAACAGAAATCCCCTAGACTTATGACTTCAGCTTCTATTTCTGGTGGAGGAGCTTCTGATTACGTCTCCCTCTCCTTCTGACACTATCTTGCAAGGCCATTTAGAGCCAATTTCTCTGTTACCATTCTTTTCAGCTTAAATATGATTCTTAGTCAAAATAACAAATACCTCTTTGCCAGTGATACATAATTTACATTGCAAAAGACCTTTACCCAGTTAACAGCTCCTTAACTGGGCCCAGAGAATTTCCTCGAAAGTATCTTCACAGGCAGGCACACAAAAAAGATGATTAAGGCCCTGATGTGTGTTTACGTGCGTGCGTGCGTGCGTGTGTGTGTGTGTGTGTATGTGTGTATGTGTGTGTGTGTGTGTAAGTGGGGAGAGGACAGATTGGGGTGGAATATAAGGGTTGATATGGGAAAAGATCGAAGGGAAAGAATGTAAGCACCTAAGACATTAGAATTCTTATAGCTATGTTAATTTCCAGAGCAGTTTAGATAGGGACTCTATTAGTTCTGTTTCTCCTACTTAGTGATTGCCGAGTTTTTCATCACAAAGTATACTATTTACCATGATTTCTAAAAATTTTTGGTTTTGTAGACATATAGAAATTAATTACTAGTCTCTGGTGGTTGTAAATAGAACTAGAATGGGAATCTCAGAACAATTGGCTTGATTAGGTGTTTTTGTGTACTCTATCAACGCTACCATTAAGGACCTAAAAACACTAAGGTTGACATATGACACCAAAATTCTCACACTGTATTTTTGCTGAAAAGTCTTAGATTTGAATGTTTATGCTAACTCTTCAGCACATGAGACAGTAAGAGATATAAACTGAAGCACCCTTTCTCAGATTGATTTACCAATTCCTGTATATAGTACTAAAGAGTTGCCAGTAATTCCCTTACGAGAGTTGCCTGCTAGTAGAGGTGATGCCATTGCCCTAAGTCTCTCCTGCCTTCTTGCTTCCTCTCGCCTGTGGCCACAGTACTCCTCTAACCAGACAGCCAATCATCAGCACAAGACCTTCTGGACTTTGAATACAAACCTTGCAAAATGGTCATATAGTATGTATTTTCTTGAACCAAAAAGGGAATGAAGCTCCCAAGAAAAATACTGGGGTACTACTAGCTTCTTTTTACTGCTGGTAGAAATCCCCCTTCCATCAAAGATCAATAATGGCCTTTCTTTGGTGGTTCAGTCACTGATTCCTTTAAGCAGAAAGTAGACATCTACAACAAATATCACAGAATCTGGGGGACAAGGAGGGTTCTGGGCTTCTCCATTGAAATCTCAGTTTCTGCAGACTTCTTTACTGAAGAAATGGAATTTCCGGGGCTCAAGAATGAGAGGAAAGTAAGACATTGTTGATTGTGAATCTAAATTGATAAAGGTTCCTATAAGTTGCAAACCCTTTTGGAGCTGAGAAAGGCAGTGTGAGGTAGTGGAATGAACGTCACCTCTAGAGTCTCAAGACTTGAGTTCAAGCCCAAGCTCCACCATTTACTGTCTATAGAGGTTTTAGAAATGTATTTAACTCAAGGTCTCAGTTTCCACATCTCCAAAGTGGGCTTACGTATAGTCATGAAGGTCAAATGAGATGTTGTTAGCTGCTGTCCAGTTAGGCTGACTCATGGAGATCCCATGCACGACAACAACAACAAAGTTACCTAGTCCTGTATTATCCCCAGGATTGGTTTTGCAGATCTCACTTGATAATCCAGGGTTTTCATTGGCTGACTTTTAGCTTTTCTTCCTAGTCTGTCTTAGTCTGGAAGCTCCGCTGAAACCTGTTTCACTGAAGCCTCCACTGAAAGATGAGTGGTGGCTGCACATGAGGTACACTGGCCAGGAATTGAACCCAGGTCTCCAGGTGGTCAAACGAAATAATGGCTGTAAAATTCTTTTGTAAATTATAAAGTTGTAGGTAAATGTTAGTTATTTACACATCTTACAAAATTGTAACGAGTGTTCTTGGGCCAGGAAAGGAAAAACATTGCAAGGAAGATAGTGGGGTTCTGCTGGATATTTGACTACTAGCAGAAGGGCTTCTTCAGGCAAAGACCTCTCGTGGCTTTTCTTTTGGTGCCCAGGCCTGTGTTTTAGATGTCATGCTCCAGTGAGAGAAAGACAGGAGGTGTAACAGAAACAATATGTCTTCAGGCCTCTGTGATCTTAATAGCAGAGTTGGCTTAGACCCCAGTCCATCTTGTTTTAAAGAATACAAGATATTGTATTAAAAATACAAGCTAACAAATATTATAACAATTCTAAATTTATCATCTCTTTGATTTGTGTCTATTGTCATCTGAATTTACAAAAGAGTAAAGAGCCCAGTCCTTTTCAGCAATTCTGCCCACCAGTGCTTTGGTAAACACAGCTTTGAGGAAGGACCTGGGATAAAAGAAAGCACGGCTTCCCTGCTCCGGTTTGCAGTTCACTGTCACTTCCCCTTAAGAAAGAAGACTCCTAGGCAAATACTGGAGAAAGAGTCTAGAAGAAAATAAAATACTGCGTTTAGCAGAGAAGAGAGCAGATACTCTTTAGCCCTGTTATTTCAGATATGACATATTCTGCTAACAGCTGGCAAGCTCTTTAAAGCACAGTTCAAAAGCCGTAATTGCAGAACGGAGCGTCAAGAGAATTTACAGAAATGAAAGAGCATTCCTGCAGATTATTAACATAATCATCTCATTTATATTATAGACGAATACCTAAGATGTCTCCCAACTTGACACTTTACGAAACAGGTAGTTAATTAATGTAGGTAAAGCAACATTCAACCTGAAGCCTTCCCAGCAGGTGGCTGGCATGGTGCAAAAAGCTAGAGAAAGAAAAAAACAAGGAGCAGAGAGAACAGAGAGTGGGAGTGGGGGAGGGCTAGAGCCAAAATCTTGGAAAAGGAAATCAGGAGAAGGAAACAGGGGTCCTAACGAGACTTTTCTAGAAGCGTTGGTACTATGGTCTTACCAGTTCTTCATGGTTACTTGATTTATTCTTGGTGTAGCCATAAGGGGTGAGAATGAGCTGCCCGTAAGAGTGCATGGTAAAGAAGCACAGAATGTTCTCCTTCTTGCTCTCTATAAAGCTAGAGACAGCTTTAGTTTCAGGTTCAGACGCAGGTCCTGTCCCGCAGAATGTTAAATCTTTGCAGTCTGTAGATGCACCAACACCTGGAATAGGCAGGAAACCACAAAGAAAGCGTCATAATTTCAGTGTAGAATTTACCGAGGGCAAGGCGTCGCCACCGCTTGGGGCATCTGTGGATGGAATCAGGACTTGCCTGCTCTTGTCGAGGTTAGTTGTGGCTCATTGCAGGACAGTTATTCCAGGAGGAACTCAGAAAGGCTGGGGGCTGACGTTCGGATTTAGAAACAAATTCCTGCTTACATGGCCCAGGAGGAAGGAGGATGCCAAATGAAATGGCATTTTCTTTTCTTTTTTTTTTTTTTTTGCAGATTAGGAAACATTTGGCTGAGGAGTTTGGATTTATTTCTTTATTTATATTTTACTATGGTATAATATATAACAAAGTTTGCCATTTTAACCACTTTTTAAAATTTTTGTATTGTGATGAAATATATATGACAAGACATTTGCCATCTCAATCATTTTTACATGCACAATTCAGTGGCATTAATTACATTCATAATGTTGCGCAACTACTTTCTATTTCTAAAACTTTTTCACGCAAACAGAAACTCAGTGCCCTTTAAGCAGTAACTCCTCTTTCCTCCCTTCTCCCTGCACCTGGCGACCACTAATCTCCTTTTGTCTCTATACATTGGCCTATCCTAGATATTTTATATAAGTGGGAGCATACAATATTTGCTTATTTTGTGTCTGATTTATTTCACTAAGAATAATGTTTTCAGGTTTCATGCTTGTTGCAGCTTCATTTCTCTTTTTAGCTGAATAATATTGCATTGTATGCATAGACCACATTTTGTTTATCCACTCATTTCAGTAATCTTTTACTTACAACTTCCAAGCCTGTCTATGGTAAGCCCTGAAACCAATAGTTGGGATCCAGTTCTCGGGGTCCTAGATCAGGCTCTAACATAGTCGTGTTGACCCAAGTCTCTCCCTCACTTTCTTACTGATTTGAATCTCAGTGTAGCTATTTTGCAAAGAGGTAAGTTGACTGTCCTCCTTCATTAGTAATAATAAGGATCATCAGTTGAACACCTCTTACGTACTAGGCACTGTGCTCAGCCCTTCCTATGTGTTGTCTTGTTTAATTCCCACAACAACCTATCCATAAGCTGGTATTACTATGGCCCACATTTTAAATACGAGGAAACTGAACAGAGAGATGAAGCAATTTTCCAAAAGCCATAGAGTTGCCAAGGTCTGATTTTAACCCTTGCTGCCTGGTTTTTAACCAGGCTACTCTTAACCATTCTTGCCTGTTATTGCTTCCAATTCACTGGGTATGCTGGGATTGAGAAACATGAAATGCCTTATGGAGAGGAAAATGTTCGTCTTGTGTACTGACCGCACCTCTCCTGTAAAATAATTTGCAAGGCTAATTCTTATTTTTCTTTTTCTATGATAATTCATATATTTAGAAACAAAGTGATTCATTTCAAGTATATTCACACTGGTCTAAGTCTACTCTGCCCTTGTGTATCCATCCTTACCGAGGGGAGCCCTGCATAGGAGTGTTTAGGTTTTTACCGCATAGATACTATCATCCCCATAGAGGAAATGAAAACTGGTCAGGAAGTCTAGAAAGCTGTATGAAGGTTAAGTGTTTATTTAAAAACAAATTATATCTCTAGGCAAACCAGCCCAAAAGCAAAGACGAGAAGGCAGGAAGGGACAGGAAAATCGGACGAATAGGAACAGGGAACCTGGGTAGAGAAGGGAATGGGGCTGACACATTGCAGGGTTGGTAGCCAATGTCACAAAACAATTTGTGTATTAACCGTTTAAAGAGAAACTAATTTGCTCTGTAAACTTTCACCTAAATCACAATAAAAAGTAAAAATAATACTTCTAGCAATTCACCTCTTTTCTTGCTTCTCTGCTTTGTTTTTTTTGGTCAGTCATCTACTAAACATGTACTTACTACACCAAGATACATTGAAATTTCGATTGAGATCCGCCCCAAAGCATGTGCCATTATTATGGGATGACCGGGATTTCCTCCAAACACGATCCTGTAACAGAGGAACATAAGGATGTTGCCACTCGAAGGCATCATAAATCACAGTGCTAGTGCTGATAGGTGGTCCTCGAACAGGAAAAATGTTTCCTAGGATTGTCTGTCTGGAAGAACCTGCCTTCAACATTACGAAGCTTGTGCATGTAAATTTTGGTCTTGCAGATGGGCTAGCAATCCCTAATAACAAGAACATCTGTACAGCCATAAGTGTACCTACACGTATACAATCAAATTGGAGGGAGTAGGTCAGCCTTTTCTTCGCAGGCAGATTAGCAGTGCCTGTGGTCATGTTCTGCTTAATCAGGGAAGCATCAGAGAGTCATTTTTTAGGTCCAAGTGATACAGGATGAAAGGGAAATAGCTTGGCAGATGGGAAAAGGCTGTTCCAGGTGTAACAGAGATGGTCTTTGCACATTTCTGGAAGCAGAAGACTGATGAGTGGAGATGAGGATAAAGACAAGGTTCACCTGACAAGCACAGAGGAGGGAGGGACTGGATTCAAACAGGCCAGCAAGGCTGTTCCACAGAAAGGGATCTCGACAAGGGCTTTTTGGGAATGGCGAGGGGGTGGGGAGGAATTAAGACTTTCTACAAAAAACCATAGTGTTTCCAATTGCCTCATATGCATGGGAAAACCGGGCAATGAATAAGGAAGACCTATGTAGAATTAATGCCTTTAAATTATGGTGTTGGAGAAGAATATTGAATATATCAGGCACTACAAAAAGAACAAACACATCTATCTTGAAAGAAGTATAGCCAGAACGCTCCTTAGAAGCGAATGGTGAAACTTCGTCTCACATACTTTGGACATGTTATCAGGAAGGACCAATCCCTGGAGAAGGACGTCATGTTTGGTAAAATAGAGCATCAGCAAAAAAGAGGAAGACCCTCAACGAGATGGATTGACACAGTGGCTGCAACAACGGGCTCAAGTATAACAATGATCATGAGGATGGCGCAGGACCGGGCAGTGTTTCGTTCTGTTGTACACAGGGTTGTTATGAGTTGGAACAGACTTGATGGCACCTAACAACAACAACAACAAGAAACAGGGACTCTTCCTTGTGAAATGATATGCTTTAGAAGTATTGTTTAAGAGAAAGTCGTCTACTAAATGAAAAGACTTCATGAAATGTTCTCCCCTTGTGAATTAAAAAGTGAAGGCTGCTTTTGGATTTGTGTATCATTTATTTGTCCTTATGCTTCTAGAACTGATTTTAGGTGGATACAGATTGGTACTTGAATTTTATGTTAATATACTCCTGATAGGGTGGCAGGCAATCCACACATTTAAGGAGATAGAGGAGGAAAAAAGTCAAGTCTAGTTGGAGAAACCAAGGGTATGTAAAAAGACAAAACTGTGCTGGACTTCAACTCTTAAGAGGCCTTAAAAGACCAGTTGCCACGGAGTCAGTTTCGACTCATGAAGAACCATGTGTGTCAGAGTAGAACCATGATCCATCCACAGGGTTTTCCATGGCTGGTTTTTCAGAAGTAGATTTGCAGGCCTTTCTTCCGAAGTGCCTCTAGGTGGACTAGAACCTCCAATGTTTTGGTTAGCAGCTTAGTGCACTAATTGTTTGCACCACCCAAGGATTCCTAAAGAGGCCTTATCTTCCAAGTCAATTCCAACTCATGACGACCTCCTCAATCCTAAACTTTACTTAGATTGTTGACTAAAAAGAGAATATTTTATCCCAAATGGGATTTCTTTCTTTCATTACATGGGCATAGACATTTAGTTCATGAACTCCTCCCACTACCAAACTCAACATACTCACAGTGGTCCAACTGTAGATATAACCATCGATGTTAAGAACTGGAAGCACATAGAAGTCCAGGTAATTAAGGAGCCTTCTTATCCTTGAGTTGTCTTTGTAGTTTTGTAGAATCTGGAAATTTAAGAGATAAACATTTAGAATGGTCTCAGGGGGTCTTTTCTCAATTTTCTAACAATTTCAACTTAATTATAAGAAGTAATTGTACATCCCATCCCTAAAACCTAAATCCACCTCAGTTGTCCTATTCTTTATGGTTGTTATTGTTATTTGCCATCAAGTTGATTCCGACTCATAGCGACCCTACGTGACAGAGTAGAACTGCCCCATGGAGTTTTCTAGGCTGTAATCTTTACGGGAGCACATTGCCAAGTCTTTTCTACCGCGGAGACACTGGTTGGATTAGAACCACCAAACTTTTGAAGCTGAGTGCTTAACCATTGCTCCACTGGGGCTCCTTATTCTTTATGGTTGTTGTTGTTAGGTGCTATCGAGTCTGTTTTGACTCATAGTGACCCTACATACAACAGAACGAAGCACTATTTCGGGCCTTCGCCATCCTCATAATTGTTGCTGTGTTTGAGCCCATTGTTGCAGCCACTGTGTCAGTCCATCTTGTCTAGGGTCTTCCTCTTTTTCTCTGACTCTCTACTTTACCAAACACGATGTCCTTCTCCAGGGACTGGTCCCTCCTAATAACATGTCCAAAGTATGTGAGACGATGCCTCACCATCCTCGCTTCTAAGGAGCATTCTCGCTGTACTTCTTCAAGACAGATTTGTTTGTTCTTCTGGCAGTCCATGGTATATTCAGTGTTCTTCACCAACACTATAATTCAAAGACATCAATTCTTCTTCAGTCTTCCTTATTCATTGCCCAGCTTTTGCATGCATATGAGGCAATGGAAAATACCATGACTTGGGTCAGGCGCACCTTAGTCCTCAAAGTGACATCTTTGCTTTTTAACATTTTAAAGAGGTTTTTTACAGCAGATTTGCCCAATACAATACGTCATTTGATCTCTTGATTGCTGGTTCCATGGGCACTGATTGTGAATCCGAGTAAGAGTAAAATGAAATCCTTGACTTCAATCTTTTCTCTGTTTATCATGACGTTGCTTATTGGTACAGTTGTGAGGATTTGTGTTTTCTTTATATTGAGGTGTAATCCACACTGAAGGCTGTAGTCTTTGATCTTCCTTAGGAATTGCTTCAAGTTCCAACCCCTGCTGAGAATTTGAATTTCTAACAAGTTCCCAGGCTATGCTAATGATGCTGGTTAGGGACCAACTCTGAGAACCACTAGTAGAGCAGTGGTTCTCAAAATTTATTACACATAAGAATTACCTGGGTATCTTGTTAAAATGTAGATTCTGATTCAGTATACCTGGGGTAGAAATGCAAATTCTCAACAGGGGTTCGAACTGGAACAAACCGTTTTGAAGCCTTAGCTTCAAGTCCTCTTTGCTTTCAGCAAGCAAGGTTGTGTCATCTGCCAGTCACAGGTTGTTATTTATACTCCCTCCAATCCTGATACAACAATCTTCTTCATCTAGTCCAGCTTCTCAGATTATTTGCTCAGCATACAGATTGACTATGTATGGTGAAAAGATACAACCCTGATACACACTTTTCCTGATTTTAAACCATGCAATATCCCTGTTATGGATTGAATTGCATCCCCCCAAAATATGTGTCACCTTGGTTAGACCATGATTCCCAGTATTGTGTGATTGTCCTCCATTTTGTGACTGATATAATTTTCCTATGTGTTATAAATCCTAATCTCTGCCTGTGGTTAATAAGGCAAGATTAGATTATGTTAAAGAGGATTAGAATGGGATGTAACACCCTTGCTCAGGTTACATCCCTGATCCGATGTAAAGGGAATTTCCTTGGGATGTGGCCTGCACCATGTTTTATCTTACAAGAGATAAAAAGAAAGGGAAGCGAGCGGGGTGGGGGGGGGACCTCATACCACCAATAAAGTAGTGCCAGGAGAAGAGCATGTCCTTTGGACCCCGGGCCTCTGTGCTGAGAAGCTGTAGTCCAGGGGAAGATTGATGACAAGGACTTTCCTCCAGAGCTGACAGAGAAAGCCTTCCCCTGGAGCTGGCACCCTGAATTTAGACTTCTAGCCTACTAGACTGTGAGAAAATAAATTTCTCTTTGTTAAAGCCATCCACTTGTGGTATTTCTGTTACAGCAGCACTAGATGACCAAGGCAATCCCCTTTTTCTGTTCTAATAACTGCCTCTTAGTCTATGTACAGGTTCCTCATGAGCAAAATTAAGTGTTCTGGGGTTACCATTCTTTGCAATGTTATCCATAGTTTGTTATGATCCACACAGTTGAATGCCTTTGCATAGTCAATAAAACACAGGTAAACATCTTTCTGGTATTCTCTGCTTTCTGCCAAGATCCATCTGATATCAGCAATGACATCCCTTGTTCCACATCCTCTTGTGAATCTGGCTTAAATTTCTGGCAGTTCCTTGTTGATGTACTGCTGCAACTACTTTTGAATAATCTTCAGTAAAATTTTAATTGCACATGATATTGTTCGATAATTTTTGCATTCTGTTAGATCACTTTTATTCGGAATGGGCACAAATATGGATCGCTTCCTGTCGGTTGGCCAGGTAGCTGTCTTCCAAATTTCTTGGCATAGAAGAGTGAGCACTTCCAGTGCTGCATCCGTTTTTTGAAACTTCTCAGTTGGTATTCTGTCAGTTACTGGAGACTTGTTTTTCCCCAATGCCTTCAGTGCAGCTTGGACTTCTTCCTTCAGTACCATCAGTTCTTGCTCATATGCTACCTCCTGAAATGATTGAACATTGACCAATTCTTTTTGGTACAGTGATTCTGTGTATTCCTTCCATCTTCTTTTGATGCTTCCTTCATCATTTAATTTTTTGCACAGAGTCTTTCAATATTGCAACTCAAGGCTTGAATTTTTTCATTTCTTTCAGCTTGAGAAATGCAGAACGTGTTCTTCACTTTTGGTTTTCTAACTCCAGGTCTTTGCACATAATACTTTACTTTGTCTTCTCAAGCTGCCCTTTGGAATCTTCTGTTTAGCTCTTCAACTTTATCATTTCTTCCTTTCACTTTAGCTGCTCTGCATTCAAGAGCACATTTCAGTGTCTCTTGTGATATCCATTTTGGTCTTTTCTTTCTTGCCTTTCTTTTGAATGACCTTTTGCTTTCTTCAGGAATGATGTCCTTAATATTATCCTACAACTCACCTGGTCTTCAGTAGTTAGTGTTCAATGCATCAAATCTATTCTTGAGATGGTCTCTAAAGTCAGGTAAGATATATTCAGGGTCATATTTTGGCTCTCGTGGACTTGTTTTAATTTTCTTCAGCTTCAACTTGAACTTGCACATGAGCAATTGATGATCTGTTCTGCAATCAGCCCCTGGCCTTGTTCTGACTGATGATAGAAAGGATGCTAGAGGTGGCATGATAGAATTTTGCAAGACCAACCACCAATTCATTGGAAATATCTTTTTTCAACAACATAAACAGCGACTATACACATGGACCTCGCCAGATGGAATACACAGGGTTCAAATTGACTACAATGTGGAAAGAGAGGATGGAGAAGCTCAATATCATCAGTCTTCTTTATGGTAGCGGTTCTCAAATTTTAGCACCTGGAGGACTTGTAAAAACACAACTTACTGCCTCACCTCCCCCACACCACTTTCTAATTCACAATATTGGCAAGATAGCCCCAAAATTTGCATCTCTACCAGGTTCCCAGTTGATGTTGACTGTAGCTGCTGGTCTTGGAACCACACTTTGAGAACTATTCTTTATGGGTTTCTCTATGTTTGAGTTTGTGAAGAGACTGAAAAAAATGTATCTTTTGTTACTTTTGAAGATTTCTTATTTCCTGCAATGGAGGGATATATGTAATATGCAAAAATCTGCTGTGCTAGCACTTTCCATATGCTAAATCTCTTAATCCTCACAACAGACCCAAGTAGTAGTCAGTTCATACTTCTTTTACAGATGAAAAGCTAAGGGTCCTAGTGTTAGAAAATTTTAAGATTATTAAAAAGAGGCAGAGCCACATTTCAAACTCATCTCTGACTCCCAAGATGTATGCTCTCACTTCTTGAGTTGTGCAACCACTCTTACCCTCCTTTTCTGAGTTGTTCCTCCCTCATTAACATAAATTCACTGCCTCTTAAGGTTCCCATCTAATCTTTCAAGTTGCTGTTGTCAATTTGGTCCCATATAGATAGTTCTTAAAAAAGCATAATGCTCAAGGCAGGCCTTTTTTACTAGTTAAGCTAAACTATTGTTTGATTTTAAGATGACTTCAGGAGATATTTTTGGTTTAAGGTTTAAAGATTACCTCAGGGCAATAGTTTCAGGGATTCATCTACCCTCCAGAGCTCCAGAAAGTCTAAAGTCCATAAGAATATAAATTCTGTTCTGTATTTTCCCCCTTTTGATCAGGATTCTTCTATGGATCTTTGATCAAAGTGTTCAGTAATGGTAGCAAGCACCATTCAGTTCTTCTATTCTCATGGCAAAGGAGGTGGTTGTTCATGGAGGCAATTAGCCACACATTCCGTATCCTCCTCCTATTCCTCACTTTCCTTCTTCCTGTGTTGCTCCAAGTGATTACAGACCAATTGTTGTGCCTTGGCATTAATTCCCTTTCACATGGGGGGTGGGGAGTGGTATCTCAGTGAAGAGTTGCATTGATAATCATGAAGGAAAGCACACTTTTTACATAATCAAGTAGTGGCAGGAATTTGGGGGCCAGTTACCATTATGAGGACTTGAAAGACACTTACTTCTTTCACAAACCATTGGCAAAAAGCTGGGGCAATCCACTCCCTGGCATGAATTCCACAGTCCATCCAAATGATCTTCTTGGGATTATCTGATGGTTGGCTGATCTGAAAGGGATATCAGTGCTCCATTACCAAGCAATCATTTATTATCATAAACCACAGAGCCCAGCGCAAAGTTAACAAGTTTTTACATTCCTCTACCAGTACCAGTTGCCATGCAGTTGATTCTGATTCATGGTGACCCAATTTATTGCAGAGTAGAACTGTGCTCCAGATGGTTTTCAAGGCTGCAACCTTTTGGAAGCAGATTGTGAGGCCTTTCTTCTGAGGCACCTCTGGGTGGGTTTGAATGGCCAACCTCTCAGTTAGTAGTGGAGGGCTTAACGGTTTGCACCACCTAGAGACTTCTTGTTTCCCACAGAAATCCCCTTTTCAGCTCTTTGTTGGCAACCAGCAGGCAAGGATGCCGATTGAGACACCCATCAATATGACCCTTTCTTCTGCCACACTTGCTGTCCTGCCATAGTTGCCTCAGTTGTTGTTTCTGGACGTGTGCTGGCTACCCATGTCACCCACCCAAAGCCTGGTTTTTCCTACACCCTAAGTTATCCCATAATTATAAATAAAGGCATAAACCTCAAAACCACAAGCTAAGAGGCTAAGTCTACATAAACCTTACAGAATCTTAACCCCTGGGTTCACTCAGAGAGGCAAAGTACACCAGAGGTAAGGCTCAAGATTCAAAGCTAGTTAAAAAGGAATCTCAATTGTTATTTAAATCTCTTGTAACTGTGAAGGGATGCAGATACATAATCTCCTGCAACACTTTTAAATCCCCCCTCCCCTTAGAGACTCCACCACTACCAGCCAACCAGGGCTTTGAACCCCTGCTGAGAATTTGCATTTCCACCCCAAATATACTGAATCAGAATCTACATTTTAACAAGATCCCCAGGCAATTCTCATGTATAATAAATTCTGAGAACCACTGCTTTACTAGTGGTTTTCAGAATTGATCCCTAGCCAGCAGTATTAGCATCACCTGGGAACTTGTTAGAAATGCAAATTCTCAGCAGGGATTCAAACCTAACCAAAGCAGTTCAAAGCCCAGCAGCCAATCCAATCTTCTTTCCCCCTCCCCAATTGTTATTCATGTCCATTAGCTCAGCTTGACTCCAGCAAGAAAGATCCCCTACTTTGTCAGAGGGGTGGGGTAGACAGGAATGAATCTGGCAATTATGGAATCTCTTTGGTGGAAAGAGACTGTGAATACTCCCATGTGCATTACTGTCACATCTGTTTTGAATTTGTATATGACTTGGTCCAGTGCTATTCATTGAAAGCCATTGAGAACTGGCCCAATGAAGGCTTTCTCCCTCTATTTGTAAAATCTACAAATTGTGAGAAACATGGGGCTGGTTCCATCATATCCAGGAAACTTTCTCCTTTCAGCCTCACCCATTTTCAAAGCTGCCAACACAATTCCTAACCCACCTTCTCTTACATTTACTCCTTTTATGAGTATGTATACATCAATTTTATGTTTGTCTTTATTGCCTCCTTATTGTATACTCAGTTTATTCTTTATAACATGCCCCAGACAGAGGATGTTCAGATGTCTTTGGCTGAATTAGCTCAGAGTTTAATGGCTTATCAAAAAATGAGGTAGGCAAGTGCCTCATGTTTAATATGTCAATCAATCAATCCATTCCTGGGTAAATACTATTTCAGAGCCAATAGATTTGTCTATAATTGTAGATAACTCTGAAAGTTAGGGGATGTGCTTTGTAAATTGACATGTCTACAGTAAGTAGTGAGAGGGAACTTAATTAAGTAATTTTACTTCTTAATGCCAAACCACTTTGGCCTTGTTTTTGTAAGAGAGTTTTGTACCAGCAGGTTCAGCGTCAACCTGGGAACATGTTAGAAATGCGTTGTAGTACTAAAACTTGAGTATACATCAAAATCACCTGATTACAGACCAATACCTCTCATGAATACAGAGGTAAAAATTTTCCACAAAATTCTAGCCAATAGTATTCATCATCATGTCAAAAAAACTAATACACCACCGACCAAGTGGGATTCATACCATGTATGCAAGGATAGTTCGACATTAGAAAACCAGAAATCAAAACAATCCACCACAAAAATAGAACAAAAGAATCACATGATCATCTCAATCCATGCAGAAAAGGCATTTGATAAAGTCCAACACCCATTTCTGATTAAAAAACCCTCAATAAAATAAAAGGAAAATTCCTTAACACAATAGAGGGCATCTATAAAAAACCAACAACCAACATCATTCTCAATGGAGAGAGGCTGAAAGCATTCTCCCTAAGAACAGGAACAAGACAAAGATGCCCATTATCACCATTCCTATTTATCATTGTGCTGGAAGTCCTAGCTAGAGCAATAAGGCAATAAAAAGAAATAAAGGGCATCCAAATTAGAAAGGAAGAAGTAAAATTATCCCTATTCGCAGATGATATGATAGTATACATACAGAACCTCAAAGATTCCACAAGAAAACTACTGGAACTAATAGAAAGATTCAGCAGAGTAGTAGGATGCAAGATAAACGTACAAAAATCAGTTGGATTCCTATACACTAACAAAGAGAACTAGAAAAGGAAACCGAGAAAACAATACCATTTATGATAACCCCTAAAAAGATAAAATACTTAGGAATAAATCTAACCAGGAACATAAAAGACTTATACAAAGAAAACTACAAAACACTATTACAAGAAACCAAAAGGGACCTACATAAATGGAAAAACACACCACGCTCATGGATATAGGAAGACTAAACACGGTGAAAATGTCAATTCTACCCAAAGCGATCTACAGATACAATGCAATCCTGATCCAAATAACAACAGCACTCTTTAATGAGATAAGAAAACTAATCAGCAACTTTATATAGAAAGGAAAGAGGACCCAGGTAAGCAAAGCATTACTGAACAAAAGGAATAAAGTAGGAAGCCTCACAACACCCAGTCTCAGAACCTACTATACAGCTATAGTAGTCAAACAGCCTGGTACTGGTACGACAGACACATAGGCCAATGGAACAGGATCGAGAACCCAGAAGAAAATCCATCCGTCTATGGTCAGCTGTTCTTTGACAAAGGACCAAAATCCATAAATGGGGAAAAGACAGACTTTTTAACAAATGGTGCTGGCCAAACTGGATGTCCATCTGTAAAAAAAATGAAGCAGGACCCACACATCACACTATACACAAAAACTAACTCAAAATGGATCAAAGACCTAAATATAAAACCTAAAATGATAAAGATCATCGAAGAAAAAGTAAGGATAACACTAAGGGTGCTAATACATGGCATAAATTCAATACAAACCATAACTAACAATGCACAAATACCAGAAGATAAATTAGGTAACTGGGAGCTCCGAAAAATTAAACACTTATGCTCATCAAAAGACTTCACCAAAACAGTAAAAAGACAACCTACAGACTGGGAAAAAAAATTTGGCTATGACATATCAGACAAGAGACTAATCTCTCAAATCTATAGAATACTTCAACACCTCAATAACAAAAAGACAAATAATCCAATTTAAAATGGGCAAAGGATATGAAGAGACCCTTTACCAAAGAAGACATTCAGGCAGCTAACAGACACATGAGGAAATGCTCGCGATCATTAGCCATTAGAGAAATGCAAATCAGTGCTACAGTGAGATACCAACTCACCCCGACATTACTGGCACTAATTAAAAAAACAGAAAATAACAAATGTTGGAGAGGTTTTGGGGAGACTGGAACTCTTATGCACTGCTGGTGGGAATGTAAAATGATACAACCACTATGGAAAACAGTATGACACCTCCTTAAAAAGCTAGAAATAGAAATATCATACCATCCAACAATCTTAGGAATATTCCTAGAGAAATAAGAGCTGTCACACAAATAGACATATGCACACCTATGTTCATTGCAGCATTATTCACAATAGCAAAAAGATGGAAACAACCTAAGTGTCCTGTCATGGATTGAATTATGTCCTCCAAAAATGTGTGTATCAATTTGGCTGGGCCATGATTACCAGTATTGTGTGGTTGTTCTCCATTTTGTGATTGTAATTTTACATTAAAGAGGATTAGGGTGGCATTTAACACCACCCTTACCCAGGTCACATCCCTGATCCAATGTTCAGGGAGTTTCCCTGGGGTGTGGGCTGCACCAACTTTTATCTCTTAAGAGTTAGAAAGGAAAGGGAAGCGAGCAGAGAGAGGGCAACTCATACCACCAAAAAAGCAGTACCAGGAGCAGAGCATGTCCTTTGGACCCAGGGTTCCTGTGCAGAGAAGCTCCTAGTCTGGGGAAACGTTGATGAGAAGGCCAACAGAGAGAGAAAGCCTTCCCCTGGAGATGACGTGCAGAATTTGGACTTTTAGGCTACTTTACTGTGAAGAAATAAATTTGTCTTTGTTAAAGCCATCCACTCATGGTATTTCTGTTAGAGCAGCACTACATGACTAAGACGTGCCCCTTAACAGATGACTAAGACATGCCCCTTAACAAATTATGGTATGTACACACAACGGAATACTACCCAACAATAAAGAACCATGATGAATCTGTGAAACATCTCACATCATAGATGAATCTGGAGGGTATTATGCTGAGTGAAATAAATCAATCACAAAAGGACAAATATTGTATGAGACCACTATTATAAAAACCCAAGAAAAGGTTCACACACAGAAAAAAAACAATCTTTGATGTTTACCAGGGAGGGGAGGGGTGGGGAGGATAAATCACTAACTAGATGATAGACAAGTGTTGACTTTGGTGAAAGGAAAGACGACACACAATACAGGGGAAGTCATTACAACTTGACCAAGGCAAAGCCATAGAAGTTTCTTAGATCATCCAAACACCTTGAGGGACCAAGTTACTGGGGCTGAGGGCTGAGACCATGGTCTTGGGGGACATCTAGGTCAATGGGCATAACATAGTTCATAAAGAAAATCTTCTACCTTCTACTTTGGTGAGTATGATCTGGTGTCTTAAAAGCTTGCAAGAGGTCATCGAAGATATATCTATTGGTCCCGTCACATTTGGAGCAAAGGAGAATGAAGAAAACCAAAGACACAAGGAAAATATCGGTCCACAGGACTAATGGACCACATGAACCACAGCCTCCACAAGCCTGAGTCCAGAAGAAATAGGTAGTGCCTGGCTACCACCACCAATCGCTCTAAACAGGGATCACAATAGAGGGTTCCAGACAGAGCAGGAGAAAAATGTAGAACAAAATTTAAATTCATAAAAAATGACCAGATTTACTGGTCTGACAGAGACTAGAGGAACCCCCGAGACTATAGTCTCTGGACACCCTGCTAACTCAGAACTGAAACCATTCCTGAAGCCCGCTTTTCAGCCAAAGAATAGACAGGCCTATAAAACAACAACACACGTAAGGAATGTTCTTCTTAGTTCAGTCAAGTATAGGAGACCAAATGGGCAGCACCTGCCCAAAGCAAAGACAAGCAGGCAGGAAGGGACAGGAAACCCGGACAAATTGATGCAGGAAACCAAGAATGTAAAAGGAAAGCGGGAGAATGCTGACATATTATGGGGGTTGCAACCGATGTTGCAAAACAATTTGTATATAAATTTTTGAATGAGAAACTAATTTGCGTGTAAACTTTCATCTAAAACACAATAAAATTAAAGAAAACAAAAATCACCTAGAGGAGAGCTAGTTAAAACCAGGGCTTCGAACCACTTCTTTCTAGTTTGAACCCATTTTAACATGATCCCCAGGTCATTCTTATGCTGGGGACCTTGTTAAAATGTAGATTCTGATCCAGTATATCTGGGTTGGAAATGCAAATTCTCAGCAGGGGGTAGAACTGGAAGGAATTGGTTTGAAGCCCTGGTGCAGTGCTTGTCAAACCTGGCTACACATTAGGATCACCTGGAGAGCTTTCAAAGCATACTGTTGCTTGAGCCCCATCCCAGGCCAATTAACTCAGGATCTCTGTGGGAGGGGCCAGGTGTCACTATTTCTTGGCACTTCCCCAAATTATTTTAATGTATACCCAGGACTGAAAATCACTGGTGCAGAATTGGGAGCCCAGAAGTCCTGGCCCTGTGGAAGAGTGGATATTTGGCACCAAACACTTTTCTACATGTCACTTGCAAAAGGGGTAGGGGAGCCTTGAGATCTGGTTACTACCCCGGCTCTGCTACTAGCTAGCTGTGTGACCTCACGTAAGTCGTTTCACTTCTCTAGGCCTTTGTACCTCAACCATAGAATGAAGGAGCTAGATGATCTGTGGTTTTCAGACATTTTTATGGAAAAATCCTGTTTTAAAAACAAACAACAGTTTACAAAAAACTCAAAATACAGATGAACAGTGAACAGTCTCTGGATGAGGCACGAGTGAGGATTTTCCACTTACCCACCCCCTTTACTCCCATCCCTGAAGGAGAACACAGGCATTTACAGAGGACAAGTGGAAAACCAACAACTAGAATGTCTACATTCCTGTCCAGCCAAGGTCCACCATTCTAAGTTCCTCAGTCTTGGTGGGGACAAGGGAGGGACAGCATGAGAAAGAAATGAGCTCTCCACTTCCTGGCCTTACTATTTTTAATTTCTAGCCCCATGGTCCCACCCATGCATCTTAAATTCTCTTTACCCCCTGAACTTGATTCTACCCAGATGATTAAGCCTTAAGCATATACATATTTTAAATTCTAAAATTTTAAACTTTGGGGTGGAAAAATGTCTTTCTGTATTACTTCTCTTAACCTTTTCCACATTTTTTACTAGAGCTCTGTTATGTGTTGAATTGTGTCTCCAAAAAAGATATGTTGAAGTCCTAACTGCCAGTACCTGTGAATGTGACCTTGTTTGGAAATAGGGTCTTTGAAGATGTTATCAATTAAGATAACGTGAGGTCATTCTGGAGGAGATGTGTCCTAATCCAGTATAATTAGTGTCCTTATAAAAGAGGAGAAAAGACACAGAGATAGACAGAGAGGAAAGAATGGTGAATTAGGACGGAAGTAAAGATTGCAGCTACAAACAAAGAAACCCATGGGGCTACCAGAAGCTGGGAAAGATAAGAAAGGCTCTCTACCTGGAGCCTTCAGAATGAGCATGGCCCTGCTGACATACTGAATTTGAACTTCCAGCCTCTAGAACTGTGAGACAATATATTTCTGATGTTTTACGCCATCTAGCTTGGGATATTTTATCATGGCAGCCCTAGGAAATTAATACAAGCAACCAAATAGTAAACAAATATTCTTGGATTGGGAGGGAAAGATCCACCCAGTCAGGCAACCTTCTCACTCACCTTCAAATAATTCATGGGCCTCGTCTCATAGGTCAGTCCTAGGAAATGCTGTGTCACCACATCCTTGTACTTCTCACTTATCTGGCTCATCCACTGATAGATCTGAAACAGCCAGGGAGGACTGTGGGTAAAATCATTTGTTGCTCTCAGTTTAAGATAACTGCTTCTTTCAGTAAAATGTTGAACCCTGTACTCTGCTCTGAATTATAACATCTGTGTGGTAAACAAAATAGAAAACTAAATCAGTGGATTATTACCCTCCTTGTTTTCCTTTAAAGATCTACTCTGCCACCACATCTTAGGATATCCTGTTGACCTGATTTAACAATTTCAATAAGCCACTGAAAACACTTCAGAAACATTGTACACCAGCACAGCTTTCAAAATGGCCACCAGATTTAGCTTCCATGAGGCACCCAATCATGCCAGAAATTTCAGTTCAGGCTCATTTTGCAGGATCTTCTACAGTCTTTACGGATCTCACAATATGCTTTGCTAATAATGTTCATGGTTCCAAGATTAGAGAAGAGCTGGGTATGCCCTTCATAGAACATGCCAACAGAAATTTCTAAATGAAGCCCTAATTTATCATTTTAACTCAGCTGAGTAGACCTGAATAGACGCTGATTCAATTACAAGTTTTACACCATGGCTAGAAATGAAGGGTCTTACACTGTAGGCTGTAAGTCAGTAACTTGGGGTTCTGTAAGGGTGAATGAAATAAAAGAATTCACAGCCTTAAGAAATATTAAGACAGAGTCATCAGCATGTATAGGATATTCCGTACATTTAGTATTTATAGTTGAAGTCTCTGAATGATAATAAACCAAAACCAATAGTTATGGTAAATAATAAACATTAATAGGGAACAATAGTTTAGTATTTCAAAACTTTTGCATCTTCTTTGACATTCATCTTAGCATGGGGTATCCATATATAAAATTCATTATCATAACATAATATATAGGGTATTTTCAATTCAGTTCTGTCAACTGATGAGATTCATAACTCAGCACATGGGTATCATGTGTGCTTCTGTGATGGAACTGGGTCAAATGTAGGTGACCTACGTCCTGGGAAAGTTGCAAATACCAGGGAGCAGCAGTAGGAGCTATTTGTTTATTACTTAACCAGTAACAGTAGGTGTTTTATGTACTTCATTTACCTCTCACAACCATGCTGCAACACAGGCACTACTATCCCTGTTTCAAGATAAGAAAACTGGGGATCAAAGAGGTTAAATGTCTCAGTCAAGGTCATACAGCAAGCCAAGTGGTCCCACTAGGTATGAACCCATCTCTAATACAAGAGCCTAAGCTCCCTACAGGCCATACTGGACCTTGATCAAAATTAAGGAATCTTTGGTACTTCGGGGTAATTGTTGCAGAAGAAAGTTTAATTTTTTTCTTATAGTTTTTGAAAAAAAGTCTGGAAAAATATTAATATATTCCCTAATGCTGAGAGTATAAGTTAGTAAAGCCTATTTGGAGGACAACTTGTCCATTTATAATACAAGATTAAAATGAGCATCTCCTTTAACCCAGCAATTTTATTTTTAGAAATCTATACCTGAAAAATATTTGCATAAGAATGTCTGTATATATATTCATATATACACATACATATGCATATATGAGCTAATTTTGCACAGTATCCATTTTTAAACAGCACCAAACAATAGCAACGCAAATATTTCTTTGAAAAAATTTTCCCCTCTTAAGAATTGCTGCCTGTGTCCCTTGCATCCTACAAGAAATGCTTCGTTTTCAGCTAAATATGATTCATTCAGAAAGCTTCTCCACCCTACTTCCCACACCTGTACACACACCGACCCTACCCTGCTTAAACCTTCTCGGAACTTGATAAACAAAAGTAAAGGTTAATTCTGGTCGTGGTCATACTAGCAAAACTGGCTCTTTGGGGTGTTCTTTTCCTCTTTTTTCCTTCTGTTGTTGTTAATTTACTTTTTTATTTCATATCACCAGGTTTTGTAGCTTCAATGGTGGCGGGGATGTGCAGGCATATTTGGGAATCCCTTGAACTCAGTGCACAGGCCAATCTGAACCCCATTTGAGCCTCTAGTCCTTGAACATTAACCGTGAACCATCCCTCCCCCACCCTAAAGTAGATGGTGACACCTCCCCATGCTCACCTCCTCAATGGGGTGGTATTTGCTATAGTTATAGGTCTCTAGGCTCCTCCAGGGACTCCCTGTCTTGTCCACAACCTCAGCTGGGGATCTGCAAAGGAAGAAAGTAAGACAAAAGCAGTGAAGAAACCAGTTATCTCCGGGGATGGCTGGTTGATGGAGAAGATAGTAGAAAGCAGTGTGCACAGGGTTTGTAGGGCAAAGGCCAGTGTTGAAGTCTTGGCTCTGCCCACTTACTAATCGTAAGACCTTGGGCAAACCATTGAGCCACTTGGAGCTGCAGTTTCATCTGTAAGGTGAGAACAATCATTCCAACCTCACAGAGAAGCTTGGATATTTCCACATGACGTTGTAGATAAAAATCCTTCAAAATTTGCAAAAGAAACGATAGCTAAGCTTTAGTAAGCTGAAACTTATTATGAGTCAGGCACCGTTCATTTACTTCTCTCCAAACACCTGTGATAGGTACTCTTCTTATTCCCATTTCAGTGTTGTAGAAACTGAGTCATAGTAAAAGCGTTATTGGGATTTAAACTCTGGCAGGTTTGCTTTGAGTTGGAATCGACTGCACGGCAACGAGTAACAGTCATCGTCTGACTGAAAGGAGCCCTGGTGGTGCAATAGTTAAGTGCTCAGCTGCTAATTGAAAGGTTGGTGGTTCGAACCCACCCACTCAGTTGCTCTGTGGAAGAAAGACCCGGTTATCTGCTCCTGTAAAAATTACAGCCTAGAAAACCCTAGGTGGCAGTTCTACTCTGTCACATGGGGTAACTATCAGTCGACATCAACTGGACAGCACCTGACAACAACAACGACAGTCTGACTGAAGATCCTGCAGTTTTAACCACGGTACTGGTAAAATGATAAGGACTAATGTTTATGCAATGGTTTATCTTTTAACAAACAGTTTAATAAAAACTATTCAGTGCCTTTTCTACGGGAGATATCTCACTAGGACTTAACAGAACACATTCATGTACATGAAATCACTTTAGACTCATTACAACCCTGTGAAGTGTTATTATTCATGTTTTACAAATGAGGAGACTGAGTCCCAGAGAAATTAAGTAACTTGAAAAAAGTTGTTCAGCTAGTAAGTCACACAGCACTCATATCTCCAGCCACACAAACATTAGGTGCATGTTTTAGTTCCTTAGCTGAAAGTCTTTCTTTAAGCAAGAAATGAGGTTATATTTTCATTATGAGAGCACAGTAACTGATAGTTCATTTACTTAACAAGTATTTATTGAGTGAATACTATGTCAAAGGCCCTAGGGTACGAGATTTTGGGGATACTGGGGTGCCAGCTTTTGGTCAATCTAGTGACCCTGCATTGAAAGGAAATGTGCTAGAGATCTAATTAGTAGCTAATGTTTCAAAGTTGGGAGTCATTGGAAGTACTTTTTCAGGACTGTAATGGTGGTGCAGTGGTTAAGTGCCGGACTGCTAACCGAAAGATCTGTGGCAGTCTGCTCCCATGAAGATTACAGCCTTGGAAACCCTATGGGGCAGTTCTGCTCTGACCTATAGGGTTGCTGGGATTCCAAATCGACTCAATGGAAATGAGTTTGGTTTTGAATAATTATTTCAATGATTTAATTCTATTTTCCCACATTTCCCCCCCTAAACATTCATGGTATGGTGTCTGCCCTTTCTCTAGGCCTTCATTTCCTTATCTGTAAAATAGGAAGAATAATAATACCTTCGCAAAGAAGTTTTACGAGAATGGCCAAACCATGTTAAACAATAAGCACAATTTCTACAGATAGTCAATGCTTAATAAATGTTAAAACAGAGTAGTTCAAAGCAAAGCAAAGAAAAAGCCCTATTTAGCTGCATTGAAATTGAAAATAAAAATTGTACAGAGACTAATTTAGCCATTCAACTGGTGTTATCCTCAAACAATGCCAAACTACAAAATGCCTTGATGGAATTAATTAGAACTTAAGTTACATTCCTAATACCTACGTAACTCTAATAACTGGACTGACTAAATTTCAATTTTTTTTACCTGCTTCATTTAGCACCATGTACCACAATTAACTACTCTAATGGAAATCAGTTTCTCTACACAATCCTACTACTTTATCACTTGGAGGTACATTTATTATTGTTGTTACTCATATTAATAACAATAATAATTTGAATTTAACAGAGCTCTTTTCCTCAAAATTGTGAATGTTTTATTACACGTTGAATGAATTTTTTGTTATTTAACTCGTCCAAATAAAAACCTCATGAGATGGGATTCTCTAAATGATTAGTTAAAACAATGAAAATAAATTTTAGAAGAAGATTAAAAGAAATAAATGTTATTAAAATTGTAATCGTTGAGGAGCAATACATTTCTCCATGTTATTCAGGGATTCATTTCTAATATTTTCCATTCACTGAATTTTTTTAATAAGCAAGAGTGCTTCAGAATGAGCAATATCAATATAAAAATATATCTTGGTACAAGTAATATATTGAGTCTGATTGCTTTACGGAAGATATATTATCATTTTGTAAAGAAAATACATACACCCCCTAGTGTGTTTACAGTTATAAAAATTCAATCTACCTATAAGCTTTCAGAAGCACATTTCATGTCTTTATCAACTAATCAGCAAAAATATATATTTTATAATAATAAATTAGTCCTTACCAAGTGTTGTATAATTGGTGCTGGTCTAAGCGTTTTATATTATTATTTTATTTAACCCATTCGACAACCGAATGGGTAAGTACTCTTACCACTCTATGCAAAAGTAGTATTTGGTAGTAGTAATAGAAAAATAGATTTCTTTCTGATGGAGTTTCAAATCTGTTTAAGAGAATGAGACATGAACACACAAGATGGAAAACAGCCGTTAAATAACAAGGCATGAGGTATGATGAGCTAGTGCCTGATTAACTGCCAAGTAAATGGTGCACTGTGCAATGAGAGGGAGGGAGAACTCTGAACTCAAAAACAGCCAATAAGAATAGCCAACATTTTACTAGCAAATATGTATGCCAGGCAATGTTCTAAGGATGTACTTTATATATAGTAACTCATTTAATCCTAACAACCACCTTTAAAATAAATACTATCATCCCACTTTTATTTCTATTTCCTGGAAGCTTTCTTGCATAGGTTAAAATACATTTTGTTACCTTGTGGTGTGATGGATCACATTTGTGTGTGGCCTTTCTAGCCATGGTCTCGTAACTCCCACCCCAAGTGACTGGGCAGGACTGTGTGATAGGGTAACTGTAGTCCACCAAGGGGACTGGTCAGTTTTGCCATCCTGCTGTGCTTGAAATAAGCCACCCCAGAGGCAGGAAAGAGAGAATACCACCACCACCAAGGAAGAAGAGCCAGCATGTCCTTTGGACCCGGAATCCCTGTGCTGAGAAGCTCCTGGAAGCAGGAGATCTAGAGAGAGTGTGAGCTATAACCCTGAAAACGGTGAGAAGCGGTGGCAGGAGAGACCTGGCAGGAGAGACCCAGCAGCTCTCACAGAGAGAGAAAGCTGAGTGCATTTGGGCAGAGGCCTAGGGCCAGGGAGAGATGTGCCTGTGAGCATGGCTGGGAAGAGGCTCTCCTGATGGAAGAACTGTATCCTTGAGTATTCCTGAGCCTGAATTGTAACTGTTACTTCCCTAATAAATTCCATAATCATGAGTATAGTCTGTGAGTTCTGTGTGGCCATTGCAATGAATTACTGAACCCAGCAGAGAAGTAGAGAGTGCTGCTGTGGGAGGGACAGAGGTGTCAGAGTTGGTGAAGACAGCAGAGACAGGAAGCATATCTGGCCTCTGCCTCATAGGAATGAGCCTTGGGCTGTTCTTGATTCTTCTTCCCCCTTGTGAAGTTAGAGAAGGTCAGACACTGCCCCCATGCCGTTTTTACATACACTCTAGAAAATAAGTATGAGATATTTATTAGTCCATTTTTTAAAATTATCTACCTCTGATTTGAACTACCTGGGTGGTGCAAATGGTTAAGCACTTGGCTACTAACTAAAAGGTTGGTGTTTTGCGTTCACCCAGAGGTACCTCAGAAGAAAGGCCTGATGATCTACTTCCAAAAGATTACAGCCACTGAAAACCCTATGCAGCACAGTTTTACTCTGACACACATGGGTTCGCTATGAGTCAGAATCAACTCCACGGCAACTGATTTGGCTTTTGGTTTGATTTCGACTACAAAGGGGACAAAATAAGTATCAGTATTATAAGTTATCACTAGAAAATAATTTTAAAGCTTTTTCAAAACGGAGAGAAGAGATGAAGTTATGTAAATGAAAAGGGTCTCTCTACAACCCTCCCTTCTCCCTCGTTCCCCCTGCTGGCTATTCTGTCAGTATGTCCTGCTAGGAAATGAGATCCTTGGAACTGCTTTTGTAATAGTGTTAGGAACAGAAATGGTGGCTGCTCAGAGTGACTCTCTTCCTTCCCTCAGATAGTTTAGAAAATGTTTGGGTTTTTCCTTATCACAGTTATCTAGTCAGTGGGGTAGGCAAGTGATACACTAGTCTGCAAGGCTAGCCACCTGGTGAATTCCTGTTTCAATTGAGTTGGCATCCCCTGGCAATTTCACAATATATTAAAAAAAAAACAAAACATTGCCTTGGAGCCAATTCTGACTCATAGTAACCCTATAGGACAGAGTAGAACTCCCCCATAGGGTTTCCAAGGCTGTAAATCTTTACAGAAGCAGACTGCCACATCTTTCTCCCCGGGGTTCAAACCATCGACCTTCCAGTTAGCAGCAGAGTGATTTACCACTGTGCCACCAGGGCTCCTCATTAAACAGTATAGAGGGGAATGAAAATACAAAATAACTGGACACACTCAGTACCAACATCTGACTTTCCCCCAGCCAAGGTCCACAAAATGTGCGAGTATTTTGCCTCCTAAGCCCAGGGTTGATCATATTTGTAATTGGCAGCAGATTTTCAAGCTACCTCTAAGACCTTAGTGTCAGGGGTTCTCTTTGAATTTTCTCTTGTGATGATCAGTTTCCAAGCAGGCAGGAAATAATCGGGTCCATGGAATATGCAAAAAAGGGAATGGGCTAGGGATTGCAGTGAAAGCCCCTGATGTTAAAAGCGCTTATCCTTTTTACGTGAAACTAAAACACAATGCTTAAACCTCTGAAACTCAAATACTTGATTCAAGTGAATGCTTAATCTGTATACTTAGAAAAGGCCATTCCCTGTTTCTAGGCAATTTCTGGGGGCTGCATTATACTTGCAGAGAGGGAAGGAAAGAGCTGGCTAATCCCCAAATTACTACCAGTCTCATCTCACCAATCAAATGAAAAGGTTATTGTACTTTGTGTATTCTTTTTGAACAGGGACTCATAAAATGTTTAACAGAGAAAATGATCCTTTAGGGCACATTTATTAACAAATCCTGCAGATCAACGGTTGTCTGGTAGAATTTTGACTAGAATGTATAAAGAGGCAAAAATCTAATGACGATTGCAGTAAATTCTGTATTTTAAACAGTGAAGAAACAGTTACATGACAATTTCATGATAGTAATGTACGATGGATTTTTTTTTTCTGTGTACAAAATTAGCATATGCTTGTACTAGAAAAGTTTAGGAAGTACAGAGGGGAGAAAAAGTAGGAGAATAAGAAGAGAAAGAAGGAATAATCCTCAATAATCCTACCTCTCTGAGTCAACCGCTGTTGATATTTTGGCATATTTCCTTCCACTCTTTTATCCATGCAAGTTTTTTTTCTTAAATATAGTGCTGATTATATCTATACATAAGTTTATATTCACTCCTTTGTGTTCTGTATTCTATCAGAGGCATTTCCTCAAACCAGTGAAAACTCTTTGTAAACATTATTTTTAATGACTGCATAATATTTGGTTAAAATCTGTTGCTGTCGAGTCAATGCCAACTCACAGTGACCCTATAGGACAGGGTAGAACTGGCCCATAGCGTTTCCAAGGAGCAGCTGGTGGATTTGAACTGCTAACCTTCTGTTTAGCAGCCGAGCTCTTAACCACTGCATCACCAGGGCTCCTAATATTTGACAATAAGCATATATTATACAGCATCATTTATTTAAATACTGAATATTAAAGCTAGTCCCCTTTTTGATTTTTTTCTGCTGTTAGAAATAATTCTTGAGCTAATAATTTTTTGCATAAATCTTTGCCGTTGTTTTGAATTATTTCCTTGAGCTATATTTCAGGAAGAAGAATTAGTAAATCAAAGAGGATGAAAAGATTCAAGTCATTTGATTCATATTGCTAAATCCCTAATGATTACACAGATTTACACTTATAGTGTATACGGTATATAAGAGAGAGACTACACCCTTAAACGCTCAAGAGAAAAAAATGCTTCTAATCTTTGTTCATTTTAGATTTTCCATCATCATTATGTACCATAATGAACAAAAAGTATCCAAAATTGCAGCTAACCTATGCTTTGAGTTGGTAAGAGTGATATAAAATTAGCATAATTTTATATCAGTAATTAATAATGAAAATGAAAACAGCCAATAAAGACAAAGAGATTTTAAATGTTTTCCTTAAGTGCAGTCATGAGGAGCGTCCAATGGATGCCGTCTCATTGAGCCCCCTGCCTGAGCCAAATCATAATTTAACCTTGGCCTGGCCATCATTTTTTCAAATAAAAGTTTTATGCATGTTCATAGTAGAATATTTGGAAAATGAAGAAGAGTTGAGTTAAAGGGAAAAATCACCAACCAAAGATAACTGTCAGTATTTTGGAATATATTTTTATATATTTTCTCTTCTATGTATTTTGTTATTTTATATTCTGCTTTATTCCTTTAGCATATAAACAATTTCCAATGCTTTTAAAAACTTTTCATGACCATTATTCTAATGGACGAATACTATCCAATTGCAATAAATCACATATCATCTACATAGCTGATGCGCTAATATTGCACATTTAGGTTATATCAAAATATTATAATATTTAATATATTTATATTATAAATAAGGCTGCATCTCAGTGTATAAAACTCTCTTCATACTTTATTATCTCAATATAACTTACCAGAAGCACGGATATTAGGTCAGAGATTATGAAAGTTTTATGACTCTTGATTTTTTTTAAAGCAGCTTTTTTTTCTCCCCCTGAACAAAGTCCTGTGAAATACTCAAGAGTCTTTATCTCTAATTTATGGATAAAGAACCTCAGAAAGGAAGATGAATGCGGTATCTACATGAAACCAAGTAAACTAATGGAAAAACAAAAAATAAATGCCTAAAACGGTTATTGGCATTACATAGATCCTGGACTCTATATCTGAAAATCAGACTTCCTATGAAAATCTCTGGGTAGTACAAAAGGTTAATTCTCTCAGCTGCTAACCAAAAGGTTAGAGGTTCAAGTCCACCCAGATATGCCTGGAAAGAAAGGCCTAGAAATCTACTTCTGAAAAATCAGTCATTGAAACTCTATGGAGTGCAATTCCATTCTGATACACATTGGCTTGTCATAAATTGGAATTGACCAGACAGCAACTGTCTTAGATATCTAGAGCTATTATAATAGAAATACCACCAATGGATGACTTTAACAAAGATAAATTTATTTTCTCACAGTTCAGGAGGATAAAAGTCCAAATCCAGGGTGCCAGCTCCCAGGGAAGGCTTTTTCTCTCTCTGTCAGTGCTAAGGGCAGGTCCTTGTCATAAATCTTCCCCTGGTCTAGAACCTTCTCAGCATAGGGACCTTGGGTCCAAACAACGTGCTCTGCTCCCAGCCCTTCTTTCTTGGTAGTATGAGATCCCTCTCCTCTCTGCTTGATTCTCTCTTTTATATCGCAAAAGAGATTGACTCAAGATACAACCTAATCCTATAGTTTGAGTCCTGCCTCATTAACATAACTGCCTCTAATCCTGCCTCATTAACATCATAGAGTTTAGGATTTACAACACATAGGATAATCATATCAGATCACAAAATGGTGGACAACCACACAATACTGGGAATCATGGCCTAGCCAAGTTGACCCACATTTTGGGGGGACACAATTCAATTCATAACATCAACCAGTTGGCAACTGATTTGGTTTATGAAGCTAAGGGACTAGCTGAGAGCATACAGTTAGTTAGGGGCAAAAATTGGAGTGGATTTCTTTGTTCTGTAAGAGCAAATTCATTGTTTGTCTCTTTAACTATGAAACAAAAGAGAAAACACTGATTATAACCACATGTGCTTCATAAGATAAAACGTGCAAAATAACAAGTTCTGTATGAACAATAAAAATTATCTTTTATATGGCAACTACACATACACACACATACACGCAAGCACACACACACGTAGTTTAATATATATTAGATATTAAGAGAAATTATGATACATTAAGAATAAAGGCCACAAAAATGGGCAAATGACATGAACAGACAACTCATAAAATAATAAAATGAGTAATAAACAATACAAAATATTTAACCTTATTAAACATCAACAAAATGCAAATTAACTCAATAGTGAATATTTTTCACTTGTCAAATTGACAAACATTTAAAAAGCACTTTCATACACTGTTGGAAGAAGTGTAAACTGATACAACCTTTCTAGAGAGAAATTTGGCAATGTATAGCAAGATCCTTAAATTTTTCTCAGCTTGTGACCCAGTGATTCCTCTTCCTTTAATTTATGTGATAAATATACATAATGTAATATATATAACAGTATAGTCATATAAATAATAATTATACTATTATTTATAAGATATGCAAAAAGAATTTACGTAGCTTGTTGCTCATCATAGCATTATTTGTAAAAGTAGAATTCAACTAACTGTCCCATATGGTAACAATGATGGAATGTTATTAGTGATTGCAATATGTTTTACATGAATTATGAATGCCATAGAAAAATTTCTACAATATAATCTAACTGAAAAATTCCAGCAATCGTACTATATACATAATGATTTATTTATCTATTTATCTATCAAAAACATTAACAGTAATTATCTTCAGGTGAAGCTTTTTTAAATATTTAAATATTATGATTATTAAACATTTTCTTATTAATATTTCTTTGAATACTTCTATAGGTGATTCTTAATAATTAAAATAATGTTCTTTACCAATTGAGAAACTATGAAAATAAGAGATATAGAATTTTTATTATAATTTTCTTTCCTCAGGCATAAAACATGACTTACCTATATGCATTGATGTTTGTCAGACATTTTACTATAAAATGTTTGTTATTTATTCATTTATCCAAACATTACTAGAGTATTTATCAGAGCAATTTTTAATGATAAAACTTCAGCTATCTTTATTATTTCAAGATGGTGTGTATGGGTAGGAAGGAGGGAGAATTCAGTTGCAGTGATGTTGTGAAAAGCTTTCCATTTAGACAAATAAATCACAACGGTCAGCCCCTTTATCCATTTCACACTCACCCATCATACCCAAGCCCCCCAGGAACCAGCATTCCCAGGAGGTAAAGAGTCCCAAGCAGTGACTTCATTCTTCAGCAGAGAGAGCTAGAAAACCCTGGGTCTCTCCTGTGCAGGCCAGTGAATGGAATGTCTCTGACAAGGCATCGAGGGCGTGGCTCCTACAACCAAGATAAGATAAGTCAGTTAGGGGATACCTCAGCAGAAGCAGACTTGATCAGTTGCTTCATTAACTCCATCATGTCCTCAACGTAGCTCTTTTAACAATGAAAAACTTTACTGCCTGATTTTCCAGTTCTTTCCTGAAACCAAATTTACACCAACTCTTGACTCTATCAGCTCCAGAGAGAAATTTCTCCCATATGTAAATTTCCCTCCAAGTACTTCTAAGAATCCCTATCCTGTACTGAGAAGCCAACCACTCCACTGTTCCCCCTACGCTGTTCTGCTGGGCACAACAGGTGGTGCATCTGCTGGTTTGTATACAGGACATGGTTGTTATTCTGAATCTCTACCCTTCTTCGTAATCAAAAGCTATGTTCTGGGTCAAATGCCTTCTCTTGTTCTGATGAACCATATAACCAGTTTCTCAGAACAAACTCAGTGTCTTAGTTTCTTGGTGCTGCTGTAACAAAAACACCACAAAATGGGTGGCTTTAAAGAACAGAAATTTATTTTCTCACAGTTCAAGAAACTAGAAATCCAAATTCAGGACATCGGCTCTAGAGGAAGGTCCTTCTTTGTCTCTTTCAGCTTCTAGTAGCTGCTGGCAATCCTTGGTATTCCTGGACTCGTAGATGCATCTGCCTCCATCTTCACATGGTGTCTGTCTTCCCCCTGTGCGTGCCTCTCTGTGTCTGTTCTCCCTTTTTGTAAGACATCACTCGGAAAGGGATTAGGTTTAGAATCTGCCCTATTTTGGTATGACCTCATTAACATGATTAAAGAAAACTTCTATTTTCAAGCAGGGTCATATTTACAGGTATAGGGGTTAGGACTTCCACATATACTTTGGCAATGAATATAAAGTATGGAGGAAATAGAGAACTCAAGAACAACCCCTAGATTTTGGGGCCAGTAAATGGAGTGAATAATGGTGCAATTTTATGAGACGGGAAAAATTGTGGGAGGAGTAGGTTAGAGAGGATGAAAAGTCAGGATTTCTGTCTGACTCTCATAAATTTGAGTTGCTGATTATATAATATACATCCAGGGGAATCAACAAGAATAGACAGTGGCTACGGCAGGCTGGAGCTCATGCGGAAGAGAAATGTACACATTTGTGACTTATCAGCATGAAGTAGATGATGTTTAAAGCTATATAGCTGGAGGGGTTTACTTAGGGTGTAAGTATAGACAGAGAAGAGAAGAACAAAGATTGAGCCCTGGTAGATCTAACATTTAGAGGTCTTGGTAGAAGAGAAAACTTCAACAAGGCAAATTGAAACAGAATATGTAGTGACGTAGATGTAAAACTGGAAGAGCAGGGTGTCCCAGAAGCCAAGGGAGAAAAGCATTTCAAGAAGCTGGGAGTTACCAACTGGGTCGAATGTTGTCAAGAAGTAGAGTCAAATGAGGTCTGAGAACTGACAATGGTGTCCAGGTGGATAGAGACTCCTGGTGACCTTGAAAAGAGCAACTTAAGCACTTACATGGTAGGGACAAAATTCTAACTGGATTTGGTTAAAAAAGGAAAGAAGTGAGAAAATGGAAGCAATGAGTATAGAAAGCTCAATCAGCATGGCTTGCCTAAGACAATAGAACCTTAAAGGAATCTGCATTGCCATCATGTTCCATCATCCCCTTTGGATATCATTAATTCAGAAATCTTGAATTTGAATTTTGATGATGTTCAGAACAGGGGAATAAAATACCACATCTATGACACTCTTCCCCTCACCCAAGTGCATAAGATAATGGGGCAACCACCTAGATAGCCCTAACTTGGGAGCAAGAGTTTTAATGGAGCTTGAATTTGCTATATGAGTTCCACCAAGAAGGAATGAGACATGGGAGCTGAGAGTGTCTTCTTTCCATTCTCCTGCTAATTACAATGGGACCAAGATGAGCTCAGGACAGAGGGATGCATGGGTAGTCTAAATAAAAAGAAAGATTACCATAGGCTTTTTTTTAAAAAACAGATCTGTTATTCCATGCAGTTATTTTGAAGCAAACAAACTCTTCAAAAGTAAAAGTAAAAAATATATGAAAGTGTACAGTCAAATAATATACACAAATTGTTAGTAGAAACCTGCAAATAATTTTTAAAACGTGGGAACATTTGGCATAACTACACAAGGTTTTGCTAATGGTCACTGATAATTGGATTTTCCTCCAATCCGCATGTCCAATTTCACTATAGTATGCAGTCTCCTGCCAACCCCACTGGCCAAAGATGATATCTCTGCAACCTTATGGAATGCAAGTAGTAACCTAGAGCACTCAAGGCCAATGAACTGGAACCATGGGTTCCTCACTAACAAGGGTGAATTATCATCACATCTTTCCTGGTGATTAGATTATTCCTTATCATCGTGCTTTATAGCTTTCTAGTTAGTCATCTCAGCACAATTTATTCACAATAATACAGGGTTTTTTTTTTTTTATTATTATGGCTGCTTTATAGTTTCTATAGCAGTAAAATTTATTCTCAACTTTATTATTACAATATTCAACTACTAATGAATTTTTATTTTTATTTCAGTGTGTTTTAAAGCCATAACAATAAAATTCACTCCCCAAAATATTACTGCAAGTTTTATGTTCTTTAAACTACTTGATAGAATGCCCGCAAGCACATGTCGTTCTTTAAACCACATGAGAGAAGGCCTGTCAAAACATAAACATATTTTTGGGGAAAAAATGGGAATTGGTTCCTGTTATGGTGAGGCCTAAGTTCTTTGATAGAGTAAGTAGTGGGATGAAAGAAATGAAAGGACCTTAGAGACTTCTGATTAGAAGACTAAATTCTAACTGGCAGAAAAATTTGTTGAAAAAAATCAACCTCTTTTTATTACCTGCCAAGTCTTAGACTTTTTCACCATTTTCATCCTCCAAAATAATATGCTGTCAAGAGGATATCCATGATTTCTCTGAACTCACAGTTGTTTGGCTGGTTCCCATATGAGTTGGAGAGAGGCTACTATGAGATATTACCAAAGATCAGGGCCATTTTGAAGGTCTACAGGAAGGGACTTAAAAATTGGAAGGGACACAGCTAAGTCAGCTCACTATCTCTGCTGCTTCTCAGTCCCTGAACCCAAGGACTTTGACATGAACCTCATCATCGACACCACTTACCGTGTACCTTTTATGCCTAGAACACTGAGTCAAAGGGACTGGAATATGAATTATAGTACATCCAATGGAGCAAAGTGCCAGTATGATTCAAGGGTGAGGTATGTCAGACTGGCAGAAATAAGGATGTGTTTGAGGATTTGGTCTGATCGATGATAGACTGGCTTATGGTTACAAGCAGGGATGGAGGCAGATCTAATGGAGATACAGGCTGGTTTACACTCACTTAGTGATTAGGGCCTTAGCAGCAGAAGAGGCAAAATCTTGATTTGGTTTTTAGGGCAGCACCAAGAATAGGCTCTTGTTCTGTTCACAGATTGCTGCTGCCTATCATCTAGAGCAGTAATGAGTGTACAGATAAATGGATAGATGAATGGATGGATGGATAGATGGATGGGTGGGTGGGTAGATGAATGCATAGAGGTGCCGAGGGATGGATGGATGAATCTGTCTCCACATTCCTGTCAGATGGCATAAATCCACTGAGTAGATCTAGCCTCTTATATATACAGCTAGGCGCTTAACTTGCTATTACCATCTACTTCCCTTTGCCCAGCTGTGGCAGCCATGGAAGTGTACTGCTCAGATCTTCTTTCAAGACAGAAACTGCTGCCAACTTCTGGCTGTGGGTGCCTTCAAAATTTGACTCACTTCAAGCTGAGACTACATGCTCCCTGGACATTCCCTAACCAATGGCTAAGCACAGCAGTTGCACAAGGCTCACCATGTACTAGTGCAGGACTCCTCTACCAGCAATCTTCTTGGAGCTGCACCACAGTTTGGGGCTCTTCCTTCCCAATCCTTCTTTCTTCCCGCTCTCCTTTCATAGGCGTCCGACCTGCATCATGGTCTGAGGGCTCTCTCTGCCTTCTCCTGCTGCCTCTCCCCTCTATTTTTCATAAGCTTTGCCCCTGTAAATATCCTGTACTTCTAACTCCATCTTGACATGCAATTTTCAGAGGACCCAACCAACAAACTAAACAGACTCCAGGACAAATGAAAATAAATGAATAGGATTGGCCTTTGAGTCATGGAGATCTTTCTGGGCTTTGTCAGTAATATGATGCAGAAACAAAAATGATATTTGGAAGTAACAGTGACAGTCCTACACGGGCAGGCTTTAGCAGGCTTCCATAAAACACAGCCAGCAACTGAAGCTACAGACAAAGTGACACACTAGCTCAGTAGCACACCATACTAGTTGGAAATTAAAAAAAAAAAAAAAGTTTTTTTTAACTCACTGCTTGATTGCACTGTTTATTACTCAACCCTTCTGTGGAGATGATAAACTTGGCTCTTGCCCTTGGGCTAAAGTACTTTCTAGTTAGATCATCAGAGGAAGGAAGGGGAGCGGGAAAGGAATAATACTCTCAAGTTCCAGGTGTAGAAGTAGGAAGATGAGGAGAATGAAGAGGTCCCAGAGAGGAAGGGTGGGAAGAATAGAACCGAGGCATGGTAAGGACAATTAGTTTGGAAATTAGCCTTTAGGATGTATTTTCGTCACTTTTCCAGTTGGCTAGTACCTCACTCAGCACCAACCACCAACTAGTTTCCAGAAAGAACACTTCTGACCCATCACCCTAACACTTGATAAAGAGGGTCATCATTCTGGGACTCTGCTCCCATCTGTCTCTCAGGTGTTTGAAGGGAATGCAAACTCAATACCACACCATACTAGTTGGCTTAAATCAAAAAAAAAAAAAAAAAAAAAAAAATTCTTTCCTATCTTACTGCTTGATTGTAGGTGTTTGAAGGGAATTCAGCACAATTAGAA